TGCCCTTCACCAATGGGGCCATGACGTGAGGGTGCACAGAGCTGCCTGGGCAGCCAAGCAGGCAGCATGGAGGGTGCATGCACAGGACTAGCGGCTCTTTCTTCCCTTTAACTTCCAATCAGGGTGGAAAAGAAGGAGAGAGCGCGGTTGAAAACGGTGAAGTTCCACGCCCGGACTGGCATGATTGAGTCCAACAGGGTAAGTGCCAAGCTGGGGCTCAGCAGGGCCGGTAGCTAGCAGGGGCAGGATGAGTCCCAGCGGCCAGAGCTCCCAATGGGGTGGCTGGAGCAATCCCAAAGCAAAGAGCAGTGTGACTGGACCTGCCCCAGGCCCGCATCTGTTTGGCATGAATCCTCTGCGACTGTGCAGGGGGTGAGCAGAGGAGCCTGGGATGGTGCGAAAGCGCTGGGGAAGGACCCCTGTGGTGGGGGAGCAGAGACTGTCCCACCACGGCCTGTGGCTGGGAGTTGACTGCAGGTAGCTCATGTAGGTGAAGGTAGCTGCCCTCACCCCTCGTGTGGAGTGCTTAGCGAGTGGACAAGGAAGGGAGAATGGCCTGGCTACCCCTGCAGAGCTGCTGATTGCCCTGTCAGCTTCCCAGCATTCCTACCATGTGTTTTTCTCCACGCTTAATTTTTTTCCTGCATTACAGTTTTCATGTAATCTCCATGATTTCATTTGAGGGTAACTGCCCTGACACAGCTCCTCATTGTCTCGTCATTTTAATTTTTCCCACATGCGTTAAACACCATTGTTTTTTTCTGTCCTCCCTTCCATCTCCATGTTCTTCAGTCGATCAAAACGAAACGTAAAAAGAGTTTCCGCCTCTCTCGAAAGTTTCCATTTTACAAGAGCAAAGAGAACCTGGCCCAGGAGAGCGGCGGACAGGAACGTAAGTAGCAGCTGGCCAGAGAGGGCAAGCGTGCGACCCTCAGGTCCCCTGTCTTTGGGGGGAGAGATTCAGCACGTTTCCGTAGCCAGGGCTCCTGGCATCTGCCCATGTTCAGGTCTGTGCTCCACAGTCGTGCCAGCAGTTAGGTAGAAACTGGAGCTTGAAACAAAGCAACGGCTGTGGGCTTGGCACTCTCTTTCTCTCTCTCATGTTCAATGTCTTCATCCTTTCATCCAACTTTACACCCACCTGACCCCCTGCTCTGCCTCCCCCTGCTCTCCCCGCTCTGCTGCGGGCTCTGCTCCCTCCCTCTGCCTGCCAAGGGCTGTTCCCCTCCAAGCAAGGGTCTGACCGCCTCCTGCGGAGCTTCTCCTGTCCCCGTCAGGGCTGAGGGGCTGGGGAGGTCCTGGCTGTGTTCCCCACCTCCCCTGGAAGTGACTCGCAGCTACATATTCCTATCTGAGTTAAACCCTGTGGGCACGGGGGAGCTATGCCCTTGCTGGTGGAGGAGGTGGCCGCCCATGAGTGAGGCACATCTTTGGTAGGTGGCTGCAGACACTGGGAGGTCCCCAGCTTTCACCTGGCAGCATGCTGGGGCTCCCAGCAAAAGCAGGACATTGTTGCCTCAAATCCTGACGCGGGCAGCACTGGAACTGCTTGCTGAACCCAGCCCCTCTTCCTTGCAGATGCTAAATTGCATCCACTCCTTCAGCAAGCACCCAGAGAGAGAGGCGCAGTCCTTGCACCTCAGGGAAGAGAGGGTGGGCAAGGCAGAGGTGTCTCTGCCCCAGTGCCAGTGCAGTGAGCGCATTCCCCTCCCCTCCGGTGGCTCTCCTGGGTGTGATGCAGAGGCAGGAGGTTGATGCTGGACTGCTCTGGGGGCTGCCCACATCCCTCTGCTGCCAGGCTGGCGCCAGCTTCCAGTGAGCTTAGCAGCCAACGTGAGCCTCTGGCCTGTGGTGAAGGTGAAGTCTGTGTATCCCTCATAGTGCCTTGACGTGGCTGGGCTTCAGTCAGCTCCGTGCTGGCGCTGGGGGCTCCCTGAGGCGCTGCTCTCGGACAGCCCTGCAGTGCAGTGATATATGGCACGGGGACAGGGCAGGCAACACTCTTTGCCAGCCCATGTCACAGACCCGCAGCCAGCTCCCTCCCCGTGCTCTGCCACTGTCCATCCCAGCTTGCAGCAGGGGGTCCTTCCCCCATGTTTCCACAGCCAAGGCAAGCACTGGAGTGTGGGCAGCTAACATACACAGGTGGGGAAAAATGTGCCTCCCTGACATGTGTTAGAGGACTGGCTGGGCTCTGTCTACCCCCAGAGCGGCTGGGCTGTTCCAGGGGAGTGCGGAGCTACTGTGCCCTGCTGGTACACCCCGCGAGGCATCACAGAGAAACACCTCAGCCCTGCTTGCCGGCAGCTCAACGCTGCAACTGCTCGGTGGTAGCAGATGCTGCTGTGGCTGCCCTGCCCTCCCCAGATTCAGGGTGGCTCTTGGGGACTCTTTGGCAGGGAGGATAAGCTCGGGGGGTGGGGTCCGGCCACACAAGGTGAGACATTGGCAGCGGGCTGATGGCATCAGCTCTGAAAACATTTAACCTCACTTGCAGTTGCAGCTCTGGGCCATTCTGCACTCCTGTCACTAATGCTGGTCTGGCTCTGTCTCCCCAATCCCTCTGACTGCCCTCTCCTGCGCTCTCTTCTCTCCCCCTCTCCCCCGTCTCGCTGTCTGTGAAATCAGGACTTCCCTGGGTTAAGTGACGATTATTATGGAGCAAAGAACCTGAGTAAGTCAAATTTCGATGCGCATCATTCACTTTCTGTCGCTGGCATGCCTGGTGATGCCGGGGGAACGGCCGGGCTCTGGCCGGGGCAGCTGTGCTTCTCTGGGTGTGGGGAAGGAGGAGCCCCATGGGTGCTGCTCCTCTGCTGGGGAGCGCCCGCGTCTGCTGGCAGGGGCTGCTGGGCTTGAGGAGGTGCTGCTGCTGCACGCGGGAGGGGACAGGGGAGTTTGCTTGGGGATGTTGGCCATGCCCTAAGCGCGCCCAGCTGAGGGCTGCTCGCCGCACCCAGGGTGAGCTGTAACTCATCATTGTCCTCTTCCTCCTGCTCCTAGCTGGGCTGGCTGCTGGTTTA